CAAATGCATATGACGTATAATGAGTCATGTCTTACAAGTGGGAGAGCTAAATAACACCTGCAAATAAAATGGTCAGAAATCTTCACATGCTCCCCATGGCGGTACCTGTGTGTGTGATCTGTATGTGTGCATAAATAGATATGGATCCCTGTAGAAAAACACTCTAAAATACTACCACACATATGCAGCATGCAGTCACACCACAAACAAAATGCAAAAGAAATATATCTGGCTAGGACAACCAACCCATGAAAGAACAATATCCAGACAATAAAAAGACTACCTAACACTATAAATCATAACTTAGCACACCATCTAATAAAAGTTCGTCAACCTAGTATCTAAGTGCGAGGTAAGTCTGTGTATTGTATTACTTTGGCGGGTCGTCATATCGGTCCCATCCTGAAGATCTGAAGGATCTAAAGGGTCTCACGAAGATTAGATCTATTAGCTCTTTAGCACAGTCATACTCGTGTTAATCCTGATGACTTAACTTGCATTGCTCACCGGGATCAACCCAACAAGCAATGCTCATTACTGCATCGCGACCGACACGGGATCACTCTCTTAACGAGTAGGACAAGCTATCAAAAAATGGGCAAAACACAGTCACGCAAAAGTGGTTGCTCGATCGAAGGACATGACAATCACAACAGGCGCCCAAATGGGCCAACACACATCATACAAATGAATACAATGATGTTACATGCAACATGACACACACAAACGGGATGTACCAGTAAAACAAACTACCTATAAAGAGGAATTATATCTGCCCGTGGACCCGAGGTGTCATGTAACTAGCAGACACCGGCTACAAGTGAGTTTGCATCGAGTAAAAAAATACCTATAAAGAAGAATTACATCTTACCCAAGAGGCACTCACCGAGCACACATACAAACATACAAGATATGCAACAGACATATGATAAGTGCACCAAAGTGAAGATTAGTATGCCGTGACGGTAGTGACTCAAAAGGAGGGGGCATCTCGTAGCGGCTGCGGCCCAAAAGATGAGTATGCCGAGGAGACAGTGACCCAGAGATGGGTATGCCGTGACGTCAGTGGCCCGAACAAATGGGTGTCAAGGAGGCGATGGCTCGAGAATGGGCATACCGTGACAGCAGTGACTCGAACAAATGGTATGTCGGGAAGGCAGTGACCTGAAGATGTGCATATCGTAGCGGCAATGACCCGTGCAAATGAATATGCTGAGGAGGCAATTACCCGTAGATGAACATGTCGTGACTGCAGTGACCCGTGTAGATGAGTATGGCGAGGAGACAGTGACCTGGAGATAGGCATGCCGTGACGGCAGTGACCCGAACAAAAGTGCAATGCAAACAGTGATGATACTCATGTAAACGAACAAGCAGACACATACACACAAACATGCAATACGATCATGCAAAACATGCAATAACATGCAATATGATGTAAGTGATCGGTCGAACAGGCCATGATGGTCGGTCGGGTCAAAGTGATCAGTCGACTGGGCCGGAGTGGCCGGTCGAACCAAAGTGATCGATCGACTGGACCGAGGCGGACGATCGAACAAAAGTGATTGGTCGACTAGGCCGAGGCGGCCAATCGAATCGAAGTGCTCAAATGATCTTGCATCTGAGATGCAATATGATCCACACAACACAAAAAATGCTATGAAATGGTTCAAACACATGCAATGAAACTCAACCGCTCGATGACATGTAAAACTCGTCCTAACAACCTCACATAGGTACCTAGGGCTGATACACTTGGATTTGCGGCATCGCCGCTCCGACTTTGGCGTGCCGATGTGGAGGGCTTCCCCCTCTGATTTTTCGTAGGGGAAATTCTCCGCCATTCGTAGGGCAAACTAGCAACAAAACTTTTTTCGCTTTACGAACGCCAAAGATCTTATAGGACGGACTAGCTACAAATTTTTTTCCGTCCTCTAAGATCAAACTCAACTAATCACAGCGTCAAAACCGTGGAAAATTGAGATTCCAACCCGACGAGGTTCCTAAAGCTCACAACAAGGAATCACTCGACTTTGTATAGGACGTGACCAACGCACAGAAAGTCCTAACCTAAAGGCTAGTTCTAGGTAAATCAATGATCAAACACATAGATACATCGTCGCGTTTGCTCACGCCGGCGCACGTACCTCGTATGAGAGATCGAACCCACACGCCTAGACACCACTAAAACCTAGGGCCCAGCTACGAGTTACGAAATCTCACCACCATGATGATTGCGGACGTGTTCTCTTTGCTTGCTCCAAGCTGTCGACGTCCGGTGTCTGATTCGTGCACTAGTGTGCCTCGCAATAAGTCATGCAATGAAAAATATAGGAGGTAGTGAGGGAAATATGCGAAGTATCCAAATTAAACATCGCTGCATATGAAAATGAGGTCGAAACGTATACCTTCGAGACTGGTCGCTCGACGCGGTGAAAGAGGGGAACAAAGCCGGTGAGGTCGTCTGCGGCAAGGAAAGGAGAGGGTGCCCTGCAGAGGAAGTAACCCAATGAAGGTCGTACATTCTTTGACAAGGAGGAAGGCCGGAATGCGGCCAGCCGAGAAGAAGAGGTAGCAAAGCATTAGACACGGGCTGCCTTGCAAAGAAGAAAGGAGCCACGACTGTTAAGGCTTGTTGGCTTGAAGGAGCTCAGACCGGCAAGTTGAGGCTTTCCGGCAAGGGCAAGACGGCCGACGAACTTCAGGCGCGAAAGGGTAATGGTCTCGGCTGAAGGGAAGAAGAGGAAGAAGAGCCGACGGTTGGAGCAACGACACCGGAGGCTGGAGCAAGAAACTCTGGCGGCTTTGTTCGTCGGCTTGTGGGACGTCGCCGACAAGACAGGGAGGCCATGCGTGTGCTAGCCGAGAGGAGAAGGGCGTCCAAGGCTCGCGACTGACGGTAGGAGGAGGCTCTGGCGAGTGAGGCCGTGCTTGTGTTCGCCGACGAAGAGGGAGATCCGGTGAATCGAGAGGGAGCTCGTGCTAGGGTTTCACAAAGGATCGTGGCGGCTGGGTAGGGTTCGTTATCTGGGGAAGAAAAGGGAGAGGTGAAAGCGATACTTTATAGGGATAATATAAAAATAATAATATTATTATAATACTTATTATTCTTATTAATTTATTAATCGCCGCCACGCATTTTTAGCCTAGACACGCCTCATTTTAAAATGATGGTCCTCCCTCAGTAAAGTCGACGTTCCGGACACACTGGTGTGGTCCGTTTCATCATTCGGGGTCGTTCGAACCACTATTTCAGCGATTGGGCACAAAACGATAATTCACACATTTTAGCCCGCCCGCGAAGCCGTGGCGAAATGATTGTTCTTCCAAGATGAAACTGACGTTTCAGACACGCTCGTGCGGTCCATTTTGTCATCCGGGGTCATCTGAACAACTTCGCTGATGATCGAGTCAATTCAAGCCAATTTCGCGCGCGGTGCGACGAGTAGCATTCTTTTACTCGATCAGAGTCGTTCGTCGAACAGAATTCCGACCAGTTTTCGCCTTAGTGAAAGCCAAAGTCTAGCGAAATGTCTCCAACTACGTGCCCCTCAACACGTGCCAAAAAGTTTTCGGGTGAGTGTCTGAACTATCGGATGTTACGGACTTGCCGTAAACTATCCTGAGTCATGCAGGCGGACACCCTACACTCGTGATATCAAAAAATGATGCCAACACGAACATTTCTCACTCACTCTTTTAAAGGAAGCGAAACGTCCCCAACTACGTGCCCCTTAACACGTGCCAAAAAGTTTTCGGGTGGGTGTCTGAACTATCGAATGTTACAGACTTGCCGTAAACTATCCCGAGTCATGCAGGTGGACACCCTACACTCATGACATCAAAAAGTGATGCCAACACGAATATTCCTCACTCTTTTAAAGGATGACTATTCAGCCCTTATTAAAGTTGGCAATTTTATAGCCATGCAATAAAATATTTCCATGTAAATAATTATGAGACTATTTTAACACTTTTCTCCTATCCTTTCTTTTATAAGATTTTTTTGGACAATGTAATCATTGTTATTTTTTTGTGGTTGGTGTCGGGATGAATTTTTAGTGGAGGTAGGAAGGTAGCATTTGAAAATTTAGGGTTTGGGCTAGAAATTCTGACAGGAGCTGTTAGGATGTTGACTTGATCAAAGATTTAAGTATGTGCATTTTAGTTTTCGGTGTGAGGATGATAAATTTCAACAATTTAGGCTTTGTTGGGCTCTAATACCAGATGATACCATTCTAGAATGTCTAGAAGGTGTTTATGAAAGGGATTTAACGAGAATGGTTGTGGGATGAGAAGGAAGCAAAAATAGGGGATATTGATGGCGTTTGGAAGAGTGTATGGCGTGAAACCTACTGGTGTACCACAAGTTGAAGGCTTCGTCGGCTGTCCAGACTGAAAATAGTGTTTGAATGACGAAACGACGAGGATCCACTACCTTTTTCTGAGCAAGATACAGAGTCACCACTTACAAATTGAAGAAGGTACAATACTACAGAGAGCATAAAATAGCGAACAAAGTCTTCAAACACAATAACAATAACTAAAAGTCTGTCTAAGCAGTCCGAAACAAAACCAATATATAGTTCCCCAATCCAAATTAACCCAAATATTAATTAAAATAGTATTAACTAGGGCTTGTGGCCATGCAACTATGAAACAGGGAAGAAAATTCCTGCTTTTTGAGAAAACTGCAGAAATGCCGCTTGATCTGTTTGCAAAGTTGCATAAGTTTTGCGGAATGGAAGAATCCCATGGAATCTTGTGGTACAGGTCACGGATGTGACCATTCCACATTACATTTGTTGGTTATTATTAATTATTTTAATTTTTTTGTTTTTGATACCTAATTGTTGATATTAATGATCTTTGATCTTTTAAACAGGTATCACAAAGTATTCTCCTGTTTACTTCTAGTTTTTTTTTTCTTAAATTAGTCTTTGAAGTATAATTGTTGATCAAAATAATCTTTTGACCTTTTTTTTTTTTTTTTAACACAGGTATCTCATACATACGCAAAAGAAGTCTCACGAAATCCGGTTATTTCTGCCCATCTTTACAAGTTCCATGGCATTGTTAATGGCATTGATCCAGATCTCTGGGATCCATATAATGACAATTTCATCCCTGTATGCTGTGTTTTTTCCCCCATAAAATTTCCATTTTCTTGACTCTTTATTTCAAACAAAGCTGTGCACAAATTACTTGAATTTTATTCGTGCTTTTGTCTCATGTTTATACAACTCTAGATGTTTTTTTTAATAGGAAATATACAAAATCAGGAACTAAAATTTAGCCTGATAAACTGCTCATATTTCTTCTGAAATTCTTTTTCAGATTATGCTCTTTAATTTACACTTACGGTAAACTTAATTAACTCTTCGTAGGTAGCATGTTCTCTGATTGCCTGGTTCAAAAATATTAAAGGTTTGCTGGTTCCAACATGTTGTTGCAGAACCAGTATGTAAGGTTTGATACTATAATAGACCTATTTTACCCTAATATATCAGAGAAGAAAATTTCAGCGATCAATAGAAGTGTCCTCTAACTTTTATCTTGAAGTCTGTGTTTGTTTGGCCACACTAGAACTGGCTTTCCTGGTTGGTTACTGCAAAATAAAAAGGGTTTTCTTGGCTGTGCCCAATTAGCAGATGAGGGGAAAGCCACTCGGTATGATGGCACCACATAATCATTTTTTTTTGCCAAATGGTGTTTAAGCCTCTAACGTGGGAGTGTCTCCTGCACTGAGGTGTTCGTAAAGAGAGGCGCGGGTGGATAATCCTGCGTTTCTTACGCCTGGACCGGTCAAAGCCGATCAGCTCCTTCTAGGTTTGGCGCCTTCTTTTAACAGTGGAGCCACTCCTTAGTTACCCTACGACTATAAGTATGTTGTTTGCGTGTCTTAGGTCAGTTTTTATTTTGCTTCTTTCAGGCAGCCGTCGGCGTCTCTATTTCCCCTTCTAGAGTTGTATTTAAGGGCGAGTGGTGCTCCGGCTGTATTTCTTTATAAGGTGATGATTAACTTCCAATGGTTGAGTGGTGCTCTAGCTGTGTCTCGCTCCCAAGGTGGCGATTCATCTTTCAACAACTCCTTCGCACTCCTCCCGCTTCGCTGCCGCGCATTCCTCCTTTTGCTAGGCCGCCCCGATTGCGACCATTTTGCTTTTTTCTTGTAGTTCTTCGTTGTCTAGTCATCCTCCATGCTGATGCATCCGCGAGACAACTCATTTTTTATTGTGCCGCAGTCCAACACATTCTCCATCCCTGCTGCCATCATCTTCCGTAGCTGCCACTGCTCCGAACTGCCATTCCCGGCTGTTTTACTGCGGTTCTGACTGCCAAAATTATCCCTTATGCCGCCTTACTGATGTCCAGCCCCTCATCCTTGCTGCCACTACCCAGAACAGCCCACCTTCTCGCTGTTTCGGCCATATTTCATCTTCCCTTTGCTGCCACAATCAGCCCTTTGCTGCTACTGCGCCATCCAGCCTTCCAAACCACCATCTAACTACCCCCCTTGTGGGATACAAACCTAGTTGAGTGTTGTGTTCGTTGTTTTTCTCTTTCTTTGCGTTGGTTGCAACCACATCTTGACTTTTTTCAATAAGAATATTTATTTTCTTACTATTGTTTGGGTTAATTTCGGTATCATTTAGTATCAGAGCTAGCCAACCCAAGTTTTATCTTAGCGTTGCCAAAATCCACTCATACCTAACCCCACTTTCACAGAAAAATCCTTTATTTTGCTGATTTTTCAAACCAGCCACCCAAAAGTTTTTTTTTCCACCCTACATCCCTATACACCCTCGTCCACCCACCAAAACCCTAACCACGCTACCTTGACAATTATCAGAAACCTGTTCGGAAGGAAATGCCATAATGTCATTTATGAGAAATCCGACAGAGATGTCTGAGAACCTTCTATAAAGGATGTGTGACATAAAATCCTCCAATTGCAACGTAGGCTTACCGCCTTCGAGTAGAGGCAATCCAGAAGGGTTACTCAGAGCCACAACTATGAATTATTAGATCGAAAGAATATAGTGAATCGCTTCCAGTAGGCAAGTTTTAGAGATGAAAAACCGCAACCCTGAAAACTTTTGAAGTAAAAGTGAATGATCTCTTTGAAGTAAAAGTGAATGTCATATTGAGACTACAACATGAATCCAGACAAGTTCATCGAGCAGCTCGGAATAGTGGAATGAGTCTTCGGGTATCAGGACTTTCCACCCAAAGGAATGGTGAAACTAGTTGTTGGCATGTTAAGGAAGAGTGCATGTCTATCGGCGATAAAAAGTGTGGTTGGGGTGTGTTATTGTTGTTGCCTGTAAGAAGCTGTCGGTCACCGGAATCGAAATTCCGTCGCCCGCTTCGGAAGGACGTTTTAGTTTACATATAGATTTAAGTTTTAAAATTAAATATGAAAATCAAACTGACCCCATATTTTTCATAATTTAAATGAAAGAGCATTTTACCTCAAACTCTGTATCTATCTCGAGGGATAAACACAAGACTTGAGGATGAGACTCGATTAAATAAACAAAGATATATATGACGTCCGTTTGGTCTGCAAAACCGTTTTATTTGCCGACAAATTCCCTTATTTAATATGAAAAAAATTAAATAGGGTTTATTTTAAGCTGGGTTCGGAAAAACTTCCTATAAGGGCAAGCCCATATAGTTAATTACATCTTAAATGACCGAAGTCACTTAAGAATACTCTCGATAAAAATCAGGAAAAATTATCTTCAAGGACTTCAAAAGGATAAAACTTTTCAACGAAATCAGACAAAGAGGTGTGCAAAAGGAAATGGTTCAAACTTGGAACATTTATTGTAGCATCCAAAGGAGGAAGAACTAGGGGATGCCACAGATCCAGAGGAGATCCTCGGTGGCTTCCCAGTTTACTCTATGGTTTGACTTCAGTTTCGAGGAAAAATATTCAAGTGTTTTATCCTGTCAATTTTATTTATTTAGGGCTTACATTCGTATGAAACAATCACACAAACAACTCAGAAGATGTGAGGATTTAGGTCGTGACAGACGACAACCTCGGAGTCCTAAAATGAGTTAGGGCTTAGATCGTACAACAGAGCTATACGTACAACAGTCGTACAACAGAGCTATACAAATGCCTAACGAAAATATTGAGGATTTATGCTGCACTAGGCGAACAACCTCGAAATCCTATGGATTGTTGTTTTAATTTATAGGAAAGTAATTGTTTAGTTGGGGAAGACATGTTCTGCTGTTGAAGATTGTCGTGCTGCCCACCGCGCTAGTTCAAAGCTCCTTTTCGTGATGAGTTTAAGTTTTCTAGGGTGTCCAGTTATGATGTCAAATTAAATGATCTTGTAGTAATAGTTTTCTAAACATCCTATATAAAAAGAAGGCATGCTTAAGGCTATATAATATAAAATGTGCAGTACATGACAAACAGTAGGAGTAGGATGTATGTAGAACGGTAACAGGTAGAAACAGAAATAGTATAACATGCTTTATAGTACAGTACCATGTAAAAACAGGAATAGTATAACATGCTGTATATGACAGTAGCAGGTATAAACAGGGAAATAAAATGCTGTAAATGTAAAACAAACCTGTACGCCCGTGAGATTCGCTGTTTCTTAAATATAGCAAGCTGAAATGCATCGCAAAAAGCGAAGTCTGGAAGAAACATCATCCAGGAAATTCGAAGAAGAGTGTAACAACGACTCATGACAGAAAACTCGAGAAAATCAACTAGAAAAGACTCAAGTAAAAAAAAATCCTCAAAAATCTTGGAGAAATCCCAAAAGAAAGGAAAATAAACACGAGTGTCCTGTCCCAAAGCTTCAATAAAACAAAGAAGTTCGGGTAGGGGGACTGCAAGCACTCATGTGGGGTTAGACTCAGATATATATATATATATATATATATATATATATATATATTATATAAAAAAATAAAAATAATAAGATATAGTCCATTTAAAATGGGGGCAAATTTTCTAAGTTGTGTCTAATTTTTATTGTCCACAAGTCGATTACGCTGTCGAGCGTGGGACTGTCAACCACTTGAGGAGGTTCGAGCCAACTCCCGCTAGACTTAAGTCGTTGAAAGATACCGTTATCTTATTGTTCATCAAATACCTGGATCTTAATGTTATAGGATAGGACATCTTTCTGCTCTATCTTAAGTGTGCATTTATCATCACCATCCTACGCCCCAAAACAAACTACTTGCGACCTTGTTTGATGGTTTCACGTATAGCAAATACGTGGACACTTATGCGTTGGACATAAGCATCGAAAACCGAACTAACAAACAAAGAAAGAAAAGAACAAAAATGGGGTGAGAGAGAGGAGGCACTGATCCAGTTAAAACACCGAAAAACAGAGTAGATCAGTTCTCAAAATTCCTATCGAAAAGACCTGGAAGAGTAGGGCCCAAGGTCTTTCCTAACAAACATAAAGGGGCTACTTTGCGCTGATTTTTCAAACCTCAAAGACATAAGATTAATCAAATTAACCAAATGCTCTCCCAAATAAGGCTTGCAAATCCTCCAAACCCCAAGTTGATATCAAAATCTCCCAACTCCCAAATTAATCCATAGCCTCACACATCAAACAAACACGAAATTTTTCCTTTTCCAATGCACTGAGGTGTGGTGTAAGACCCACGACCTGTATCAGTAGAGAAAGGAGAAAGGAAGACAAGATCCTCGGCCCAATTGAGGTAAAGCCAAGAAAATTCACGGGTAAAAGCCAATATCAGCACCATCTAGCTCTAGACCCGGATAAACTCCCACATGTGACTCACGGCCAAGGCAAAACAAGGCCAATATAAAAGAGAGAGACCCACGGTTAGGACTTAAAGAAGGGAAGGACTCATGGCCACGACAAACAGGACAGTCCAAACCAACTCCAAAGCATTGTAAGCAAGGCTCACAACCAAGACCCAAGCGAAGACACGAGGCAAAGGGAAAGGGAAGGCTCACGGCCTAGGCTAAGTCCAAGGCACAAGACCAAGGCACAAGACAAATCCATGACTAAAGCAACTCAAATTCATTCCACAGGAACTCTGACATATGCAAGAGAGTGTAAAATACCATCAATTTCTTTAGAATGACACACTTACTCTCCCCACG